TTTTTTTTTTTTTTTTTTTTTTTTTTTTTTTTTTTTTTTTTTAAATATCTATATATATTTTGGTTTTATCACTGCTATGAATTGGAAACATGGAAAATATCAACCCAGATTCAACACATGTTCCATGAAGTACAAAATCATTTCAGATATGATCTGCTGATTCTAATTATCAGCATCAGTTAAGACAGACTTGTTTTTCTATTTGATTGAACAATCCCTTAAGAAAATTCTAGTATTGGAAATTTTTAAAAACGTGGAAGATAAAACAAGAGGCTAAACTTAGTCAACGGCAGCTTACAGGTTGTCTAAATGGAGGCCCAACAAATATCACTAAAAACAAACCGACTCTAATCCTATTTAACTCTTGTAGCTTAGGTTATAATCATTTCTCCAGATGACTTTATGGGTTCGACTGGGTCATGTCATCATGGATTGATCATGCCCAATAATTTCTAATGAAGTATCTTGTGTTGTACGTTTTCAGTATATAATTGGAGTTTTTTGATCTTTCAGGTAACGCAGCAAATGCAAATCCCACTCTCTTATGCTGATGCTGTCATTGGCGCACAAGGTTCAAGTATAAGTTACATTCGGCGGGTGAGTGGTGCTACAGTTACTGTACAAGAAACTAAAGGAGTACCTGGGGAGATGACGGTTGAGATTAGTGGAACTGCTTCTCAAGTACAAACTGCTCAGCAGCTGATTCAGGTAACTCAGTAAACTCTGACCTCGGGACTGATCTTCTAAGCCTTTTCACTATTCAGTTTTTTGTATTTTATTAGTTTCCTTAAGCAAGTATTTTGATGCGAGTTTCCTTTTTTTTTTCTTTAGCTGATGTGTTGGAATCGACATGGTTTTAAAGAAAAATCCACTGATTTATTACATTGAAACTCCTGTTAAGAAATATGTATATATTTTTTTGTAATTCTTTCTTCTTTTTGTCTGGAGCTGTAGAACGTTGTTGATTCTCTTCCTCAATTGTGTTAAAGAAAAATCTACTGTTTTATTACATTGAAATTCCTATTAAGAAATATGTATATATTTTTTTGTAATTCTTTCTTCTTTTTGTCTGGAGCTGTAGAATGTAGTTGATTCTCTTTCTCAAACCTCTGTTCCTTGTGTTAAAAGGTTTCCCCAATATTTCAAGAAAATGTGACCTGAATAGCAATACCACTATGTCGGCAGTCTCTGTATATATTAATATATTGTCAGTTTACTTATTGATACTGCCTCTTCGCATCTTAATAGTACACAAAGTCCGTTTCTTTTGGCCGAATACGATAGTCCCTTTTGTCACTCGGACCTGCAATTACTTTATTACTTGGTATCCTTATCCAATGAGGCAATTACCCATCTTTTCAGTTAATTAGTCAACGTAGGATTTAGTGTAAAGAATTTCTTGGTTCCGTTTTTGTTATTTTCTTAAATTGCTTGACTGAGATTGTTTGTATAGTTCCTGATCAAGTTATGAATGTCCATTGAATGGCAGAATTTCATGGCTGAAGCGGCGGGCCAACCTCAGACACAGCATACTCAATCAACCGATTACAACTCTTACGGAGTTCATGGCTCGGTTTACACATCTCTCCCTACTAATCATAATCACCCACCCCAAACAGGTGGTTATGGCTCAGCTTATGGAACCAATTATGGCTACTAAATGTCCAATGTCAGTTTTCCTTCACAACTATAAATTATACCAAATGGCAGTAAGCTGCTTGATTTCTTAATTAGTTTATTTACGAAAGTGAGCCTGAGAGATTCTAGATACAAGAATTCATAGTTGTTAGATCCACCACTTCATCACATGTCTTATTTTTATTTGGTTATTTTGCCTTTGTGTATTAGATGTTATAATGGGTATAAAAGTGATTTCTTAATTTGTCCGATGCAAATCTAAAAGTGTGCATCTTGCAGGCACGTGCCATGCACTATTTTAGCCTATGTATATATTTTCCCCTGATGTTTGGAAGCATAATCAGAGTTTAAAGTCGAACATAGATTGTCGGTGATGACTATTAGAGCAAGATCCAATTATAAATAGGAAAAATAATGTGGATACTCGGTAAGTTGATACCACAAAGATCCAATTATAAATAGGAAAAATAATGTGGATACTCGGTAAGTTGATACCACAAAGAACGAACAATTAAATGAATAAGCTCGAACACTAATTTTTGTTCGAAAAATAAACAAATGGACACGCTTCATGTTAGAGTGTCGTCTCCAATGCTATCACCAAGTGTGTTGAGACATGAATTTATGTATTACAAGTTGTGATTTACACACA